CATCTCCTCAATGTAATAATCCCACATCTCCTCAATGTAATAATCCCACATCGCCTGGAATGTAATAATCCCACAAAGCGTCCAATGTAATAATTCTGAGGTTCCTGTGCTACATGAAATGAGACAGGACTTGAAGTAGGGAAGTACAATTGTTAGATTCTATCTTATTTCCTTCGCCAGCTCCGGAAAGCGAAACCATCCCATGCTTACTCTGTTGTAGTGAGTTCGTTTCTGAAAGAGAAAATGTTGTTTATGGCCAGCACTATTGCCTCATAAATTGTAAAAGCGGTAGATATGTTCCTCTGCGCTCCCTCGTCTGTTATCGTGTAAGACAATTACCGAGGACGAGCACACACCTGACAGGGAAAGCCAATGTTAGCCCCAGCTCGTGGGGGCGCGGGAGGATGTATACACAAACTCATCTATCATCTCCTGCTAACCTTTTGTATTCCAGGGAGCCATTCAGATGAGCACTTCGCAGATGAAGCGGTGGAGGGGCACGGAGGAAGTGGTGGAAGGAGGGTATGCGCATGGTGGAACTGTCAAGGAGGGTTAGACTAGAAGAATGTTCTCTTTCCATGATAAATGTATTGACAAAAACTATAAAAAAAACTAGGTATATATTATTCCTCGTCAGTGGTGTGTCCCGAATGCATAAATGACGTTTGGAATCAATGTTTTCATTTCTTTTGTCGTATTTGTATCATGGATTGTTTAAGGTGATGTGAAACATTATTATTATAGACTGGTCTAGTAGGGATGGTCGTGACAGTGGTAGTAGTAGTTTTTTCTTTCTATTGTTTAACGCGGTACTCAGCAATATGACGGCGGTCTGTAGATAATCGAATCTGGACCAGACAGTCCAGTGATTGACATCATGAGCATCGGTCTATGCCTTCAAATCACGTTAGTCGCGACAATTATGGGTTGCTGAACACCAATTCTGAACAGAAATCTTCACCTGACAGTAGAAGCAGTAGAGATGGTAGTAGTAGTAGTAGTAGTAGTAGTAGTAGTAGTAGCCATTCTAAGACATATATTATGGGAAGGTTGTAGTAGTAGTAGTAGTAGTAGTAGTAGTAGTAGCAGTAGTAGTAGTAGTAGTAGTAGTAGTAGTAGCCATTCTAAGACACATATTATGGGCAGGTTGTAGTAGTAGTAGTAGTAGTAGTAGTAGTAGTAGCCATTCTAAGACACATATTATGGGCAGGTTGTAGTAGTAGCAGTAGTTGTAGTAGTAGTAGTAGTAGTAGTAGTAGTAGCCATTCTAAGACACATATTATGGGCAGGTTGTAGTAGAAGTAGTAGTAGTAGTAGTAGTAGTAGTAGTAGTAACAGTACCAGACGCCCAAATCCTTGTTTTCAATCGACATCTGCGCTGCATATACCCGCTGCATTAGCGGACCTGATTGTCTGTAGTGATACAGTCAACAAACCTGCAAGTGTGTACACGAGTCATGCTGGTTTTCTGATTGTTGCACTTTAACAACTCGGGACGGGAGACTCAGATACAGACATATCAAGGAAAATCTGCATCTCAATCTCCAGAAAGCGAGGGGAGACTGCCTATCCTTCGGAACGCCTGCTGCCAAGACGCACAGTTTGATGTGTTTATATCACATGTACATTACACTAACGAAACACACAGCTTTCGGAAATCCCTATCTCGCCACATGCCGCGAGAAGGCACGAGAACGATGCGAATCTTTTGGGGAAGTAACTGTGTTCTTGACAGAATCATCTTCTGGAGGAAAGCTCGCATGGATTCATATCGCTGATAGTTTAGGCTGCTTCTTTCATACAACTTTTCTATAATATTTCTGGAGCTGAATAAATACACGGTAGATTAAATTGAAATAACTGTAAAACATTCAGGTAAAAAAAGAAAGTAGCGAGGCTTTGCAGATACAGTTGGAATGTGTTGGGATAGTTGTAATTCAGTTCGTCCACATGAGAAAAGCCTTCGAAAATAGTTTCCAGATTTCTTCATACTCGAATAATATATTTCGTTCCTTGCATAAAAGAATGAATATGAATTTTAAAATATAATTATTTGATCGTACCTCAAAAGTAACCAGATGAAACAACTTCAGAGCAAGAAACGTATGACGCTCTTTGAAATTTTCGCAGAAAGAGCATGTTCGGGAAATGTAGACTGCAGAGACTGCATTTTCTGGAATATTGTTCGACATAAAGGGAAAGTAGACTGTTGGAATGTCATCCCTCTTGTCAAACATTCTTGTTGCTCCTTATTCATCTAAATTAATCTTGTATTGATAAATTAATCATTCCAGGCATCTTCGTAATGATAACGTGTCAATATACCTTAAATGCATTCCTACAAGAGAGTCTGTTTTCAATGACGCCTGATACAATTCCCTTCTTTGACTTGTACCATATGTTCCCGTGTTGTTTCAGGTGAACACTTGACATGCCTTTGTATATGTTTTTGACGGGTGCACCGATTGTGCAGAGTACGCTCAGCATTTCGCGAACATTAGTGATTGATAAACACATGCTTTTGATATAGTCGGAATCGTACACTGGACTCTACTTTTAGCAGAGATTTCTTGTGATTATGGAAAAGGTTTTGTCGCTAATTTTTCTCATGTTGCGTGCGGAAAAGACATAATCTCAGATCGGTAACAATACATGAGCAGTAGATAACCCAACGACAACTGTCGTCCAAGCAGTCATCAAAAGGCAGTACTCCGATCGCGAGCCCTGTGAGATGCGGGACCCTACACCTGCCGATATCTGGTACATGTAGCAATCTGGAGCCGATAACAACCCATCCACGTCAACAGCACCAGTCCCACCCACCGTCAGTGAGGAGTACTAGAGGCATGCACCTGCTCAACACACAGTTAGGAGGCCCGTAACGGCATCACCGTGGCTGTCTGACTGGCTACCACCAACGACCACGCAAAGACGCTTTCTCGAGATGCCCGTGAAACGTGAGAGAACAACAGAAAGAGAGTCGAATAAGAGGTTTTCATGCAATATAGAAAACATTAAAAGGTTCAAGATTAAAGAAAATTATTTACACCAATGCGTAATATCACTTACGGTGACCGCCACTACGTTTGTGTGGATAGAGAGTCTGCGCGGAGAGCGGAAGGTCGGTGGTTCAATCCAAAAGACGAGACAAAATATAACACGTGCTGTTAGACTGCCTGGCGCTCGGCATGAAGGGAATAAAACAAAGACTGATGGGTTCGGTGTCGGTATATTGTGTCTGAGTGGGACATCCATGATAAACTAGGGCATGGTATCTCAGTGGGCTAGCACTAAAAACAATTTTTTGTAAGGTGGACTAGTACAAGCAGACACGCAAGCACACACACTCATGCACATACGCATAACTAAAATTGAACGCGACGTTAAACCCCATTTCACCTCACCTCAATAATGGGTCCCGGGGCTGCCACAGTTTGCTCCATACCATTATCAAGTTTCAGCAGTAAAATGTCTCAAGTTTTGGTTGTAAATTGTTTCATACTATAACCAAGTTCAGAAGTAAAGACTCTCGTAATATACTAATATATATTTTTCAACTGTAATACAAAAAAACACCAGTTGTCAAAACTAACTAACTAAACTAACTCAACTAACACTCAATTAACACAACCACACAACCAAGCCGGCCACCCACCCACCTAGCCACCTACTCACCTACTCACTCACTCACGGTCAAAATATGAGAATGCATTCTGTAGCCTTATTTCAACTCGTCGATGAGCCACAATAAATTATTATATATTCTAAAGCACAATCTCATAGAATTCGTTACGCAGCATGAACAGATCTTTATTTTTGACTGATGTATTGAGTGATGATCTCTAGCCTAACTGACTATCTGCATAGTACAGTTTTCGGTTGACAACCTATCATTGAATGGAACAAGAAATATTAATAATGCAGCCTACAGACAATGAGCAATAATTCAGAATTATATAGATTTTTTTTGTCTTAGCGCCTGTCCTAAAAATGGAATTCACAGATAAATATCGAAAAGGTTAATGAAAATTTAGCACCGATCAGATGTTTAACAAAGACAAGGAATCTGCCTGGCAGGATTAGAAGAGGAGTCATGACGTTGATTATGTTCGTCAAATAAATATCGCGCTTTCATTTCGTTTGATATCGCTTCACTTGAGTGTTGGGTTCCCTCAGGCTGCGATGTATCACAGGACGTTACGACGAGTTCATCCAAGAATACACACGTTGAATGTCATAGTTGGTTTTGGAGGTTTTTTTAAAACTTATTTATTGCAAATATATCACTCATACTTTGAAACATGAATTCAAAGCCCTGTTTATTAAAAGCTAAAAACATTTAAGGTGTCAGTAACTACAAGCGATTTAACGGAAGCAAGGGTGGTCCAGTCGTCTCCGGCGCCATAATTCGCTGTACAGAAACCTACAATGGTGGGTTCGAATCACAGATTCGCTCTGAGTATGTTTCTAGGATTGGAAGCCCCTTACCCCTCTTGTGGGTTTCACCATTGTGGTTATTGTTTTAATGTATATGACTTTGGACTTCTCTCTCATCAAACTGAATACAAAATAAGATATTGCTTTATTGCCCATAGATGATATCCGTACCTTGTAAGCCTATTGCCAGCATGAACCACTTTCGCCCAGTGGACAAGCCGTCCGACCTCTAATCGGTAGGTCAGTGGTTCGAATCCTATCACTGGATTAATCTTATACAATATCTCATTGACTCACTCCCTTTATCGCGACATACTAAGAATTTCCGCAACCACCCACACCAATTGTCCTTAAATCAACAGATTCTATTCCCAGGTAGTAATGTTATTCAAACATTAAAAGGATTTAAAAGGATTCAAACTTACCTAGTCATAAGGCAGTGAACATATGGGTGCACCGATTGTGCAGAATATAGAGTCCAATTGTCCTTAAATCAACACTTTCTATTCCCAGGTAGTAATGTCATTCAAACATTAAAAGGATTTAAAAGGATTCAAACTTACCTAGTTAAAAGGCAGTGAAGATGAAAGTTCCCCTCTCCTAGTTACCAGCTGCTCCAGATCGATTTCACTGCTCATATATTATATATACTGGTTGTTGGAAAGTAGTATTGGTGGTTTTTGTGGTATGTACAGTTCTACCGACGTGTAATAAAATGTGTACTGTTCCCTTTCAAACGGAAACTATACATGTTAATAATTAGTTTTAACATACGAAGGTAGCATATTCACCGGGGAAATGATTTGCCTCATTTTATATAAAGCCCTGATGCTATTACATGTAATAAGCTGGTTTAACCATATAGATTAACTCTGCGTGAATTGTTGTGGGGGGAAACATGGCTGTACCATGCCAAGGTTAATGGTGGACATTTTGTTTAATCAGGTTGGAAACAAATGTCCATTTCGCAGTGACTTTTTATTTCCATAGAAATATAAAGCATCTCAATGATTTTCAAATGCAAGTTTAACAAAACATCCTATGACGAACAAACATATTATTCATGACACTCATAAAGGAACATTTTATGATAAGTTATTGACATCGTACTTAATCTCACTTATGAGAGGCAATTAGAAGAAATAAATCCAACACAATATGTTATCCCAGAAATATGTGCGTAAAAGAATTTAGTGTGAAACCAACAAACGAACAACAATTGTATCAGAAAATTAACTAGATTTATAAATCCATACAAATTACTGTACATCAATTACAATGGCAGTATGTAATAGAGTGGTAGTACAAATATAATAATCCCACATCGCCTCCAATGTAATCATCCCACAAAGCTTCAGATGTAATAATCCCACAAAGCTTCAAATGTAATAATTCCACAAAGCTTCAAATGTGATAATCCCACAAAGCTTCAAACGTAATAATTCCTCAAAGCTTGAAATGTAATAATTCCACAAAGCTTCAATTGTAATAATCCCACAAAGCTACCAATGTAATATTCCCACAAAGCTTCCAAAGTAATAATCCCACAAAGCTTCAAATGTGATAATCCCACAAAGCTTCAAATGTAATAATTCCAGAAAGCTTCAAATGTAATAATTCCTCAAAGCTACCAATGTATAAATTCCACAAAGCGTCAAATGTAATAATTCCTCAAAGCTTAAAGTGTAATAAGTCCACAGATCTACCAATGTAATAATCCCACAAAGCTTCAAATACAATAATTCTACAGAGCTACCAATGTAATAGTTCCACAGAGCTACCAATGTAATAATTCCGAAAAGCTACCAATGTAATAATCACACATCGCCTCCAAGGTAATAATTTCTCAAAGCTTACAATGTAAAAATTCCACAGAGCTTCAAATTTATTAATTCCACAAAGCTACCAATGTAATAAACCCACAAACTTCCAAACAATGGTTCCAACGTAATAATCACACAAATCTTAAATTAAAAAAAAACACACATCACCTCCAATATAATAATCCCACAAACTTCACATGTAATAGTCCCACATCGCCTGGAATGTAATAATCCCACAAAGCTTCCAATGTAATAATTCTGAGGTTCCAGTGCTACATGAAATGAGACAGGACTTGAAGTAGGGAAGTACAATTGTTAGATTCTATCTTATTTCCTTCGCCATCTCCGGAAAGCGAAACCATCCCATGCTTACTCTGTTCTAGTGAGTTCGTTTCTGAAAGAGAAAATGTTGTTTATGGCCAGCACTATTGGCTCATAAATTGTTATAGCGGTAGATAGGTTCCTCTGCGCTCCCTCGTCTGTTATCGTGTAAGACAATTACTGAGGACGAGCACATACCTGACAGGGAAAGCCAATGTTAGCCCCAGCTCGAGGAGGCGCGGGAGGATGTATACACAAACTCATCTATCATCTCCTGCTAACCTTTTGTATTCCAGGGAGCCATTCAGAAGATCTAGAGCACTTCGCAGATGAAGCGGCGGAGAGACACGGAGGAAGTGGTGGAAGGAGGGTATGCGCATGGTGGAACTGACATTGGCGAGGAGGGTTAGACTGGAAGAATGTTCTCTTTCCATGATAAATATCGTAAAAAAAGTTTAAAAAACGAAATATATATCATTCCTCGTCATTGGTGTGTTCCGAATGCATTAATGACGTTTAGAAATCAATGTTTTCGTTTATTTTTATTTTGTCGTAGTTTCATTGTGGATTGTTTAAGATGATGTCAAACATTATATGTATTTTAATATGATAAACTGAGACTGGTCTAAGAGGGGAGTTGGTGACATTGGTAGTAGTTTTAGTTTTCTATTGTTTAACACGGTACTCAGCAATATGACAGCGGTCTGTAAATAATCGCGGCTGGACAAGTAGTAGTAGTAGTAGTAGTAGTAGTAGTAGTAGTAGTAGTAGTAGTAGCCATTCTAAGACACATATTATGGGAAGGTTGTAGTAGAAGTAGCGCATAAAGGATGTCGGAATGTGAATGTTTCAAATTTAACCATATGATCATTGAACCAGTAGTTTTTTACTTGGTGATGCGGCAGTACCAGACGCCCACATCCTTGTTTTCAATCGACATCTGCGCTGCATATACCCGCTGCATTAGCGGACCTGATTGTCTGTAGTGATACAGTCAACAAACCTGCAAGTGTGTACACGAGTCATGCTGGTTTTCTGATTGTTGCACTTTAACAACTCGGGACGGGAGACTCAGATACAGACATATCAAGGAAAATCTGCATCTCAATCTCCAGAAAGCGAGGGGAGACTGCCTATCCTTCGGAACGCCTGCTGCCAAGACGCACAGTTTGATGTGTTTATATCACATGTACATTACACTAACGAAACACACAGCTTTCGGAAATCCCTATCTCGCCACATGCCGCGAGAAGGCACGAGAACGATGCGAATCTTTTGGGGAAGAAGCTGGGTTCTTGACAGAATCATCTTCTGGAGGAAAGCTCGCACGGATTCATATCGCTGATAGTTTAGGCTGCTTCTTTCATACAACTTTTCTATAATATTTCTGGAGCTGAATAAATACACGGTAGATTTAATAAAAATAACTGTAAAACATTCAGGTAAAAAAAGAAAGTAGCGAGGCTTTGCAGATACAGTTGGAATGCGTTGGGATAGTTGTAATTCAGTACGTCCACATGAGAAAAGCCTACGAAAAAGAGAGTTTCCAGATTTGTTCATACTCGAATAATATATTTCGTTCCTTGCATAAAAGAATGAATATGAATTTTAAAATATAATTATTTGATCGTACCTCAAAAGTAACCAGATGAAACAACTTCAGAGCAAGAAACGTATGACGCTCTTTGAAATTTTCGCAGAAAGAGCATGTTCGCGAAATGTAGACTGCAGAGACTGCATTTGCTGGAATATTGTTCGACATAAAGGGAAAGTAGACTGTTGGAATGTCATCCCTCTTGTCAAACATTCTTGTTCCTCGTTATTCATCTAAATTAAGCTTGTATTGATAAATTAATCATTCCAGGCATCTTCGTAATGATAACGTGTCAATTTTCCTTAAATGCATTCCTACATGAGAGTCTGTTTTCAATGACGCCTGATACAATTCCCTTCTTTGACTTGTACCATATGTTCCCGTGTTGTTTCAGGTGAACACTTGACATGCCTTTGTATATGTTTTTGACGGGTGCACCGATTGTGCAGAGTACGCTCAGCATTTCGCGAACATTAGTGATTAATAAACACATGCTTTTGATATAGTCGGAATCGTACACTGGACTCTGCTTTAAGCAGAGATTTCTTGTGATTATGGCAAAGGTTTTGTCGCTAATTTTTCTCATGCTGCATGCGGAAAAGACATAATCTAAGATCGGTAACAATACATGAGCAATAGATAACCCAACGACAACTGTCGTCCAAGCAGTCATCCAAAGGCAGTACCCCGAGCTCTGTAAGACGGGGGACCCTACACCTGCCGATATCTGGTACATGTAGCAATCTGGAGCCGATAACAACCCATCCACGTCAACAGCACCAGTCCCACCCACCGTCAGTGAGGAGTACTAGAGACATGCACCTGCTCAACACACAGTTAGGAGGCCTTTAACGGCATCACCGTGGCTGTCTGACTGGCTACCACCAACGACCACGCAAAGACGCTTTCTCGAGATGCCCGTGAAACGTGAGAGAACAACAGAAAGAGAGTCGAAAAAGAGTTTTTCATGCAATCTAGAAAACATTAAAAGGTTCAAGATAAAAGAAATTATTTACACCAATGCGTAATATCACTAACGGTGACCGCCACTACGTTTGGGTGGATAGAGAGTCTGCTCGGAGATCGGAAGGTCGGTGGTTCAATCCAAAAGACGAGACAAAATATAACACGTGCTGTTAGACTGCCTGGCGCTCGGCATGAAGGGAATAAAACAAAGACTGATGTGTTCGTTGTCGGTATATTGTGTCTGAGTCGGACATCCATGATAAAGTAGGGCATGGTATCTCAATGGGCTAGCACTCAAAACAATTTTTTGTAAGGTGGACTAGTACAAGCAGACACGCAAGCACACACACTCATGCACATACGCATAACTAAAATTGAACGCGACGTTAAACCCCATTTCACCTCACCTCAATAATGGGTCCCGGGGCTGCCACAGTTTGCTCCATACCATTATCAAGTTTCAGCAGTAAAGTGTCTCACGTTTTGGTTATTAATTGTTTCATACTATAACCAAGTTCAGAAGTAAAGACTCTCGTAATATACTAATATATAGTTTTGAACTGTAATACAAAAAACACCAGTTGTCAAAACTAACTAACTAAACTAACTAAACTAACACTCAACTTACACAACCGCACAACCAAGACGGCCACCCACCCACCTAGCCACCTACTCACTCACTCACGGTCAAAATATGAGAATGCATTCTGTAGCCTTATTTCAACTCGTCGATGAGCCACAATAAATATATATTCTAAAGCACAATCTCATAGAATTCGTTACGCAGCATGAACAAATCTTTATTTCTGACTGATGTGTTGAGTGATGATCTCTAGCCTAACTGACTATCTGCATAGTACTGTTTTCAGTTGACAACCTATCATTGAATGGAACAAGAAATAATAATAATGTAGCCTACAGACAATGAGCAAT